TCAGCGATGACCATGGAACATGCACAGCACAGAGCTGGCTCCAAAAGGCACTAAACAAACCACACCCACAGGAAGGGGCAGTAGGTGGGTGGTGTGGCCAAGAACTTGGAAGCCATGGGGCACAGTCAAGGCCTCTGCTCTACCACTTCCAGGCTGTATGACCTTATGCCAGCTGTTGGTCTTCTTTTAGGCCTCAGTTTCCCCAACTATAAACACCTACAATGCAGAGTTGTTGAAAGGACTAAAAATAACATTTGTGCCTCAGAGCCCATAGCTCAGTGGTTAGGGTGCCAGCCACATGCACCAGGGCTGGTGGGTTCAAACCCAGCCAGGGCCTACTAAACAACAACAACAAAAAAATAGCGGGGCATTGCGGCGGGCGCCTGTAGTCTTAGCTACTTGGGGGCTGAGGCAAGAGAATTGCTTAAGCCCAAGAGTTTGAGGTTGCTGGAGCTGTGACACCATGGCACTCTACTGAGGGTGACATAATAAAACTCTCTCTCCAAAAATTAAATAAACAAATAAATAAATATAACATTTGTTTTGAAAAAAAGACCAAGTACCAGGGAACCCAAAAGACCTTCCAGCTCAGAGCCAGGAGGCAGTGAGTACCATGTTGAGGGCTTTGTAAACAGAGTGACCTGGAGGCAGGGAAGACAGAATGAAACCCAGGGACGGGCGTCTGGGAGGGGCGCACAGGAAGCAGGGAAGTTCAGCAGCCAGGTGGGTCACAGAGGAAGAGGGACTCAGTGGGAAGCATTGTGTGCTGTGGCATCGGGACCTCTGCCCCTGGAACAGACTGGAAGTTCATGGGAAGATGCAGGGGAGGGTGGGGGTGGGGGGAGCTGGGTATCAGGAGGGGGCCGAGTCCTTCTTGCCCCTTTAGAAATGAATCAAAATGACATTGATTCAACAGCCCTTGATGGGCTCATCTGTATTAACTCCTGCCTTTTGGCTCAAGTTCCTTCTTTGTGCTGTCAACTTTGGGCCCCTGTAACAGCCTGTCACCACACTCACTGTCAAAGCCAGGGACGAGGGATCCAGGGATGAGTTTGTCCCAGTCGCTTCATATCAGAGGCTGTTGAGACAACACAGTGTCTGCTTAATCCCTGTGAGATGGAGACAAAGCTGTTCTGACATCTTCAGATGGAAATTGTACCCTTGGTCCCCAACAATGACTTGTACGCTGACCCGGGCCTTTCTGATTTCTGCCTATCACGATGGCAGCAAACCTGCTCACAGAGTCCTCCCTAGCAGTTTGTAAAGCACTTGGCAAGGGCGGTCCCCTACACAGGACTGCAAAGACTTGGGTGATGCTTTCCCCACTGGGCTGTTTCTTCTTGGTCTGAGAACATTGATGTACAAATCACTGGAATGACAGACAGTGTCTGAAGGATGGGAATGGGTCCTGGGGTCAGGTCTGAGGGTCCCCCAGATTGTTAACTACGTCTCTGCTTATTGCTGTGTTCCTCCTGCCCTGCCCAGCCTTCCCCTTTCCTCACCTCCTCGTAGGCCTTGCCATACATCCTTTTGGAGACCGATGCTTATGTCTAAACAGACCAATGGAAAATTCAGGAATATTCAGGGAACCTAGAAAGCTAAGGGACATTCATAGACTCATGGGCTGTTGCTGGGGCTGGTGGGGAGGTAGTTTTGTTATTAATAACCTCTGTTGTTCTTATCTCAAACTGTCACTCAACTTATTCTGGAAAATTTGAAAATACAGGCAGGCAGAAAGGACAATATAAGCCCCATCATCCAGAGACTAACACGCTGCCCTATAAATTCCTAGGCTTTCTTTCTGGGCACATAGATTTATGCTTTTCAAAATGGGGCTGTACGGTGCTGTTTGTGCTGTGTGTATCCACTGTCCTTTCACATCTCCACTGTAAATATCCTTCCTTCCATCCATTAAATAGGCTCTCACACCTTCATTTTTAATGACTGCCAGCATGTGCCAGCAGAGACGGGCCCCAGTCAATTTGGTGTGTTTCTTTCTCATGACTGTGGTTCGGCAACCCAGACCGTTGCCCACGTTAAGAAAGTGCCAAGGTTTAGCCAATTAGATGCTCTTCATTAAAAATGAAAAGGGCATCTGCAGGCCTCCAGAGGGTGGGCCAGTGTCCTCATTCTTCTGAAAGGTGTCCGTGTCGCAAATAGCAACCTGACCATTAGCCAGTTAGGCTGAGCACGTGGAACAGAGGGCCGGCTGTATTTCCCTGTGGACTTCTTTAGAGAGGCTGAGATGCTTGCAAAAAAAAAAGAAAAAAAGAAAGTAGAAGGAAATGTTTTGTAATTGTTTGCAAGCGCACACAGGCTCAGTGGCAAAATGAGATGGAACCCTTGATTTCTAACCTCCTGCTGCACTGTTCAAAATTCCTCCCAGAGAGGCAAGTGGGAAGCAAAGTAAAACGCTCTGATTGTACATTTGCATCCTCTCTTAGCTGGTTATTGTCCCAGAGGACATTTCACATCAAAATGTACTTGTTTGTAAAGATCTTTCACCCAAGACAGACTACTTCTCCAGATACTGCTGATATATAGGCTAGAGAAACACAAAGAAGGAATTTAAAATACTGGCAGCCCCTAGGTAAAAATATAAATGGATTTAAGGACAGCTGCTGTCAGCTCTGAAACCCTCAATGGATGATCTCGCTGAGAGCCCCAGTTTGGTAAATAATCAGAAAAACAATGGCAACATGGAGAAAAGCTGAAAGATGTTAATTAAAGAAATGCTTTTGTTCAACATGCTTTTAGGTAATACCAGTAGTGGGCCAGGCACTGAGAATCAGAAAGAAACAAAACCCCCATTTCTATGCTCAAGGAGCCAATGATCTAAGATGGGATTCAAAGTGCAGACAAATATTTGAAATATGCCATGACAAATGGTGCACCCAGGCTCCTATGTACAAGGCATGTGACAACATAGGCGTGTGACCCCTCCACCCGTTGGCACTGGGGAGGCTTCCAAGAAGAAGGAAAGATGGGAGCGTCCGGGCCATCGTGTGAGGCAGGGCATCCTGGGAAGTGACACACTGAGACATGGGGGTATGAAAGAGCAGGTGTGTTCTAAGAACCACCCCTGGTCAGGTAGGATTTAAAGGTGGGGCCTTAGGAGCTGGATCTCGCTTTGTCCTGTGTCCTGGGGAATGGGGCCTGGGCTTTATCCAGCAGGCAGTAGGAGCTGTTGGGTTCCCAGCAGGCAAACGTCCTCTGATTCATGCTGGAAAGCCTCTTTCTAGGTAGCAGGGTGCTTGCTAGATTAGAGCAGAAGTGATTAGGAGACTCATAAACATTCAGGCCAGAAAACACTTGGCCTCAACAAAGGAGAGTGACAATGAGAATAGAGGGAGGAAGCAGTTCAAGTGGTTATTAAAGAGATGAAGTCCTACATCTCTTGGGGTGGGAGGGGAGTAGCAGGTAGCAGGACCGGGAAACAGCAGAGAGCAAGGGAAGTCACAGGGAACTAAAGCTGGGCCAAGATGACCGAGAGACCTCCTTCTGCAGTCTCAGGAAGGACAGAGCAGAGCTGCAGAAACACATTCTGGTAGGCTACAAAGCTGGAAAGTATTAGCTGAAGGGCCTGGAGGCCCAGCCAGTCTCTGTGAATGGTGCTGCCTCTAGCAGGGCTCAGTGGCCACATGAACAGAGATGACAGATGGACTTTAGGGGAAGACTTGACCGTCTGAATTGCGGATGGCCATCATCCCCTTGACTCCAGGGAACTGAGGGTGTGGATGAGACAGTGACCACACTGCTGCCCCTGGGAGGAATGAAGCCAGGAAGGGCTGAGAGAGACAACTCAGGTCTCCACAGAGCAGAGATGACCAGCATCCGACAGATGCGGGCAAGGCAAGGAGGCTGGTCTGAAGTCAGACTCCAAAGCTGGAGCAGCCTCACTGACGGCTACCACAATAAGGTGACCAAGGAGGCACAAGGCAAGGTTTGCCTCCACTATCACCAAAGCTGTGTGGCCTCCAGGAGAGGCACGCGTGGCTGAGAAATACCCTGACCCTCTAAGGGATTCTCCCTAGAACTGCGACTGCCAACCCATAACCTCCTGGCATGACAAAATGCCCAGGTAACCAACCGGTGCCTAAAGCACTGCCATCAGGACCACGTCCCCTTCCTGAGGAGCACCAAGCAGCTACAATTTTGTCATAAGTTACAAGTCTGCGTGTGGATTCTTACAGCAAGTCCCTGTTCCCACGGTTTGGTAACTGTGGGGCTCATGGCCCCAGTGTTGTCATAATCTCATTCTTAACTGGGTTTTTTCTTTCTTATCTAATATTCCAGGTACATGTGATAGCTTAATACACTGACACACTGTAATTTGTAAAGATCAAATCAGTGTACTTGGGTCATCCATCACTTCAAGTACAGTGGGACCTCTGTGAGTTGACCACCCAAGGGTCCTGTAACAAACTGGTCAACATACAGAAGTGTGAGTCACCATAGGGAACTAGGCCACTATACTGACATGTACATGTGGTGCATGTCCAGCCTATGAGAATTAGGTCGACTTAAGGAGGTGGTCAGTGCAGGGAGGTGGTCAGCTGTAGAGGTTCTAGTGTGTTTCTCATTTCTTATTTAGAAACATTTGCAATATTCTTGCTATCTAGAACATAGAGTATAAACAATAGTCACCCCACTAATCTAACACCAGGTCTTATTTCTTCTATCAAACCTTATATTCGTGCCTATGAATCAACTTCCACACCCCACCCCACCCTAACCGGCTCTATCTTCTAAAGACCCACATTTTAGCTCCCACATGTGAGTGAGAACGAGCCACTCAGGTGGCATCCTTGACATGGGAGCCCCTGACTCAGGTCCTTTCACTGAGGTCACCCTTGACCTTTTAGGGCGCCAACTCACTTAGTAAATGCCAGCCACTGAGCAGCATGCCGGGCGGCGTGGGGGAGGGGGGGAGGGCAGGGTGCGGGATGCGGACACTCCCCACCCCCGCCGGGCGCGCGGTGACCTCGGCCTTCCCACAGGTGCGCGCAGGCGCTTCTGGAGCACGGCGCCTCGGTGCAGCGCGCGGGCGGCGCGGGGCAGGACACGCCGCTGCACTTGGCGGCGCAGCTCGGCCTGGACCAGCACGCGCGCCTCTATCTGGGCTGCGGGGCGCGCGTAGACGCGAGGAACGGCCGCGGCGAGACCGCCCTGAGCGCGGCGTGCGGCGCGGCCCTGCGACCCGACGAGCACGCGCGCTGCCTGCGCCTGTGCGCGCTGCTGCTACAGAGGGGCGCGGCGGTGGACGCGCGCGACGAGGACGAGCGCAGCCCGCTGCACAAGGCCTGCGGACACGCGCGGCACGGCCTGGCGCGCCTCCTGCTGCGCTACGGCGCCGACGCGGGCGCGCTCGACTACGGCGGGGCCTCGCCGCTGGCCCGCGTGCTGCAGACGGCCCCCTGCGCGCCCCAGGACGCGCCGGAGCTCACCGTGCGGGTGCTGCTCAACCACGGCTCCCCCACCGTGTGGCCCGACGCCTTCCCCAAGGTAAGGAGGGACCGGCGGGCGGGCGGGCGGACTCCACAGGTGGCCCTCGAGCACTCCGGCACCCAGCCGGGGTGCCTGCTGCGCGCACATCCGGCCCAGGAGTCCCCAGGGAACCAGTTAAAATGCAGACTCTGATCCTGCGGGTCGGGTGAGAGATTTTGCCTTCTAACAAGCTCTGGACAAAGCCGAGGCTCCTGTCTAGAAGCTTCTGGTTAGAGTCGCTTGAAAATTATTAAAAAGAGCTTGGATGTTAGTGAGCATATCTGAACTTATCCTTTCAAAGTAGTCCCCTGGAGACTCCAAGCGCTTGTTTGGATGACGCACCATCGTGGTCCAAAATATTTTGGCAGCTCATCTTTGGGTCTAATTTTCAGAACAATGAAAATAGTCTAGGGTGGCACCTGTGGCTCAGTGGGTAGGGTGCTGG